GTAGAGTTAGTGGGGGGGGTTAGATTATTATTATTATTATCAGCATTGATCACTCATATTATGTTCATTGAATGACATTATTTTGTTTTTGCTCTGATCATTCTTGTAATTAAAACTTATAACTGTTAATTTGGCTTAATTAATGTGTGTGCTATTATCATATTGAATGACATGAACTAAAATTGACCTATATATATACGATATTATCATAATAATTTAGATAAAAATTTGTAGTATTTGTTGTATTGCACACCCCTACCTCCCACCATAGCCAAGAGTTAGAATACACTACAAACTGGTCTTCATCTTCTCTCACATACTTTCTTAAGATAACATTTAGCCACTTCTTTTGTTCTTCTAATGATGTCACTGACCAATATTGATTCCCACACTAGAACGAAGATTGAGCTCATCTAGTTGTGTATACTCCTGTAATTCATCGACACAGTCACCATGATTGATAGTTATTGTTGATGTTAGGTTTAATCCAGTTAGTATAGGTATTCTAGGTTTCTTAGACTCAGGTATCAAGGACTGTAATGATTCATTGATAATCTTAATCTGATACATGTAAGCCTTGAGCTGTTTCAATATATCACTAGTAGACATATTCTGTAAATACAAAAAGGTAAGATGGAACAGTTTAAACAATAAATTGCAGCACTGTCAATGTACAGGTACATGACTCATAACTTATCAATACTATCAACAAATTTATACAAATAGAGTCATAGACATAATTATATCATTATAATTACTTTGCAAAAATGACACAAAGGCTGGCAATTACCAGCTAGCCCTTACCTTTTCTTCCTTCATCAGGTTGATCATGTTTTTGATTGAAAGCAGCTGGGAAAGATATCAGTGAAGTTGATAACTACTCAATGACAAGAAACGAAGAAAACAATGATACCGTAGCTTAAACAACTAATACATGTGACACACCTTTAGATCATCAGTCTGGTTTACTATTAGAAAGAGGGAGAGAGGGGAGAATAATAATAATCAATCTATTGTACTAATCATAACAATGGTTTAAAGCCTGGTTTACACTCGAAGAAAAGATTAAAAGTGCATGGGCGATTTGACCTTTTGATGCAAAAAACCTTAAAAACGCTTTGAAGTTGACGCAAAATTGGTCAAATTTCAATTTTTTGTTCATTTGCGTTGCGTTTTGTGTCAAGAGTAAACCAGGCTTTATGTAGCTGGTCTGCAGGCTGATATGCCATAGGTCTGAAACAAATAACAAAAGGCAGGCCATCAATACCCAAATTGAAACACCACACAACATTTACCTGAACACTGGCAAGAATCCAATGGATTCACACTAAAAGCAGTAGTAGTAGGAGACTGAGTGAAAGTAAGAGTACTGCCATTGTTAGGAGATTGAGCGCCCATCTCTCCTTGAAATACAATAAGGAGGCATAGTGATATAGTCGTAATGGATATCAGGACTGCGAGGATAGTGAACATGACCAGCAACAACTCAAACTTTGCTTTACTTATATGATACGATGACTCCGCATCTCTTAAATGTTTACAATTAATCCATCGAGAAGCTGAACTCTGTGAATTAAGCGGTGCTCCTCCCTTCTTCACTTTGT